TTGGGGGGGGCGGTGACTAGTAAAAGGGGGGCGGTGAATAGCGATTGAGTTATCTTACTATCCAATCACGCCAATTTAATTACATTTTCATTTATACTTTCATATGACGCCAAGACTTGAGTTTCTTCGAATGATCTTATAATTGGTGGTATGGGGATCCTGCCAAAACAGAAGAAATGCTCCAATTTTTCTCCACGATCTCCATATTTGGATCTGGTCGATTTCTTCATCGGATGTTAAATCTGGATGATCCCTCTTCTTGATGTGGACTTCTTTGATGAACTTCAGGGTCTCGCCTAGCATCTTCAATACCTAATGGATTTTTCATAGTTTGGTTTATCTCTAACTCATTCGTCTCAGCATCTTGATCGGCCTTACTGACTTGGTACCTTTCGTGCTTGTCGATCTCTTTTTCTTCTTTGGAGTCGATATTCTTTCCTTGCTCAAGATCGAGAGCCCATCTTCGTCATAAGCCTTATTACTGATCTCTTTTAGTTGTTGCACCCTGGCCTTCTCAGTCTCCAATTGATGCTCGCTGCGACTTCTCGATGATACTGCAACGCCTCCACATGACACTGCTCCAAGCTCTATTTCTCTCTTCTCAAGGCCGACAGTCGATCTTCGTAAGAGTGTTGTTATCCTTTACCTTATTTTTAAGGCGATTTATTTCAGCCTTCGCAGTTACCAATTCGTCAGACAATTTGCTATTTTTACCTTTGGGGATCTACAATTGGTGGCTCATATCGCTCATCTGGGAGCCACGAGTCACATGTCCTGCTCTAATTTCTTCCACTTCTTTGCCCAGGGTGTAAGTCCCTTCGATCTCGTGCATGAGGGACCCCATCGCTATTTCCAAGTGTGTTGCTGACCACTAAAGCCTCTGAGTCGCTCTTATATCCTGGCTAATTCCAGGGTCCACACCATCAAGGGAATTTGAGCTGCATTTAAAACTTGTCATGGAATGTCGTAAGGGTTTGGGATCTCAAGGACAACCGATCCCAAAACTACGATACTAGCTAGGTTTTGGCCTTCAAAACTCCTTATGATATCTTCCAGTGAAGAGTCGTTGGGGAGGTAACTGACTTCCACGTTCTCTGTCTCCTTTGGCCTCCCTTGTTCCTCTTCAGGAATCGAAGACTGCTATGGGCAAAGTGGAACAGCGCGGTTGATCCCAATTGCAATGCTCGAGGCACTTCTACCTCCAAGATCATCAGACTTAGACAAGTCTCTTCAATTGTGGTTGCCGTCGTCCCCACTTCAGGTAGAAGCATAGCTTGCCGCTCAGTTTATTTCTCCCTAGTTGAAGGGTTGCGATCGTCTACCTCTTCAAGATTCGCTATGGATCGGCGTTTTACACCTAATCGCATTACTCATGTATTCTGGCAAGGTCTCAACAGTGTCACATATCTTCTTAATGGAGCACACATTTGAGTGGTCGTCCTAGTCTTCTACGCTTCTTCAAATTACCGATTCTCTCCTTCTCCCTTTATTCTTTGATGGATGAAGTCCTCAGCAAATTCGTCACCGAATAGAATACTGCGAGCACAAACGATCCAATGAGAGCGATCTTATTATGTATGCGATCGACTTAAAATGACCAACTTCAATGAATTACATGGCTCAATCGTCGTATCAAGCCCTATTGGATGCATAGAAGTTAAGGATAACTCTTCAACTATTGTTAGCCATTTACAACACCTCTTGTTTTGTCAAGACCATAATGGACTTCAATCTGCCCCTAAATCTCGATGTCAAAGGTTGTGTTGTCTTCGCCGCTGCATACAAAAGAAAGACGATTACGATAATTAGTTTATTAGAAATTAGTGGTAAAATATTTGAAGTTACGAATGCTTACGCATTTTCTGCACTAGCTCAAGTGGTACATCTATAACGCCACTGATCCCTGGGCCCTTCGACGATTGAGATGTTTTATAATCTCCGAATAGCCAAAACCATTCTTATCTCCATTTATGATGAGATTTAGGGATATTCGTCACCATATATGCATACTTATCGTCTCACGGTGCCAAAAGAAAATACCCAGATCCTGTCTTTAAGGTCTTCTACACAAGAAACGGATCTAATTCCTCCACATACGACCGAAAATGAAGACTAGATTGTCCATTGGTCTTATCCACTCATGCTGGCTATATCGCTCTCTGACGACCAAAAATGAACACCCGATACCGACCTCAGATCGCTAGCCTCTCCACAATGAAGAATAAAACATACAGCTTTCTCGGACCCCTCAGCAACCTAGCGATCCCCTCGACGATCCGAAAACCTGGGAGGGCCCTTGTTATACGCATTCTTAGAAATCTAGCACATTAGAAAGAAGTGAGAATTATAGCCCAAATACGACTGAGTCTACAAGATAAGAGATCTTGCACTTGAGATAATTGTCAATCCCTCGGCAGACCGATGCCGGTCTTTATGTAGAGTATGATTGTCATCTAACAATGGAACCAATAAAGTAACTCGCTCAACCGATCTCGTCATGAAAAGTCAAAATACACATCCCGTCCTCAAAAGTCAGATTATTGCATGAAAACACGTGTCGACCACCTGACCCCTAAGGTGGCACACTTTCATCATTGTATTTTACTTTTTCCGCATATAAATGAGGCTCCTAGTACCTCATACACACAACAACATCAACCATATACTACACTGAAAAACGATACACTCTTAATACAAGTTTCCATTGATGATCCACCAAGTGATCGGCTAATCGTGCGTGTTCTTTAATTTCCTACACTTTTAATTCAACTTTTGTACTAATGTAAATTCAGTCCATAAATCACTGATAATACGTTCTTAGTTTCTTGACTGAGATAGTTGGCGATCAATCGTCGATACTTTACAAATGGTGAGTGTCGTTTATTTTCTTTTGCCCATTCTCTAATTTGCACATAATAAAAAATAGTGACTTAACTTACCAAAATTATAAAATTGTGTTTAAATTGCAAATGATGTAAATATTGCAATTTATTTTGTAAATAAGCCAAAAATAATTTTATTATTTTGACTAACACTAGTGCGTGGCCCGTGCGATGCACGGAAAAAAAAAATATTACGATTGTATTATAAATTAAATATATAAATAACATTAATCATGATTTATCCATTATTTTTAAATTAAATCGGGTTGGACACAGTCCGACCGGATGGACCGAGAACCGGTTTATAACCAGTCTAGTTCGCTTGAATAAAATATTTGCTCTCGAATCCGTCACCACCAGTCGGTTGGATTGATAGGATCGATACGATTTTCTAAATAAATTTTATTATATTTAAAAATATTTTAAATAAAATTACATATTTAAATAAAATAGAGATTTATAAATTATTTATCAATTAGTTTAAACATTTCAAAAAATTAAGATTAATTGATTGATTATGCAATTTAAAGAATATTTTTAGCGTTCAATTTTTTTTAAGGCATAAATATAAAGATCGAGATTCAAAAACTTTTGTTATATTTTGAATTGAGATTTTATAAATATAGAGACCGAGATTTAATATTGTTTGTTGTTTCTAAGAAAAAAAATAAAAATAAAAACATACACACTTAATAAATCTTAGCCGGATTTTTTAAATAATAAAATGAACTAAAGCCCGAAACTTAAGGTAGCATTTAATGTTGTATGATTTTTAAAGAAAAAAATAAGAAAAATAATAAAACTTACTATTTATACACTGCATTAAATTATTGGCCTATTTTTTTGCTACTATTTTTGGTAAATGTTAATTCTTATTGTATATATATATAGATATAGATATAGATAATATTTTACAGAAACATCTTGTTTTTAATGAAAAATTATTATTTATAAATTTATAAATTATTATAAATTAGGTTTCTTAATATCTCAATTAACCCAACCATCACTCCCCTAGCCCAGATGTGGCTCAGATTTAAAAGGCAGATGGAGCAGACCGTTATTCCCTATCCGAATTCGCAGATTCAATTATATATGGATCCCTAAATCTATCTTCTCTACTTTCCCTCTCTCCATTCTCTCTCACACACTGTCACACACATCCTGGCAGCGCAGAACGTCGTCTCTACTTTTCACCAGGTAACTTGTGAGAACTTGTTTTTGTTTGGTATATTTCGCCCGCTATTATTTTCCCCTCTTTTGGGTTTTTTATTCTTCTTGTTTTTCCATCTACTGTCGCGTCGTGGGTTATGCCTTAAACCCTAGTGCCTGATGTTTTGATGTTTGTTTTTTATTCAAATTTTAATGGCAAGAACGTGCAAACTCCAGAAATTAGTTTATGATGTTCGATATTGCACTGAAGGGAAAGATTTGCCCTCCCGCTCGAGCCTTTATTTGAAAAAATTCAAATACTTGAATAGTTGGTTTTTGTTTTTCTCTGATGATTTTAACTCATCTTGTATGGTTCCAAATAATGGCGTCTACATGCTTGGTGTTTGAATGTACAGTTTTTGTCATATGAAGTGGTTCCAGACATTTTGTGTATTTATTAGTTGAACTTATTTCAACTTATAAGGGAGGAAAAAGAATTAGAATCTCAATGCACATTCCTATTTTTCAGGTACCAGCATTGTAGACCACTAATCTTGAAAGTGTGTTGTATTATCAGTGTGAGGACAAGCATGCACAGTAAGAATTTCTTGGCCCTGTGTATATCTTATAAAAATTTCTGCCTGTGTCAATTTATATGGTTTTATATTGTATGTTGATGATGGAAATATGTTAGTTACACAAGTGGAAGAAATAACGCAATCCTATAAAGTAAAATTCAATGGTATCATTAGTGTTGAAGTCTATTTGAATGTTGAACTGGTATGTACTGCCCTTCTTCCTTNTTCAAGATACATAAAATTTTATAAAATGAACTCCACTTCATGAGTTTTAAAATGGGAAAGTATCTTACCGTTCGGTTGTAAAAAAATATTTTGTAAATGTTCAGTTGTTTATGTTCTGCGTCTCATTAACATCAATGCTGCTTGTTTCCAGGAATAAGTTTATTTTTCTAGTTACCAATGTGATCAAGGCCGGCCATGCCTGCTATGAAGAAGGTCTGTACATTGGCTAGTTATTGCTTTCGATCAGTGATCTACTTCATGAACTTTTTCTTGTGCAGTTTGTGAATTTTGGTGGATCTGTGTCTTTGATTGTAATCAGAATGCTGAATACATTGGGGTTGGACAGATATTCAGTAAATTAGTGAAGGAGATTGGAAGTCCTGTTGATTTTGAACTTCCAGAATCATATAACAAATGGAAGTCTACATCTTACTGCTCCATCAGACGCAGTATCCTTATTCATTGATTATTTTGTTTCCCTTGCATGGCACTAATCTTGTAGGTTTTGTGCCTTTTCACATTGGCCATTGCAACAAATTTCTCTCTTCCACTGTTTAATAAAAATTCTTATGCTTATGTTTTGTTTATTTAGAAACCCTAACCCATTTGGGGGTTCATTTTTTTCTTTATTTTTTTTATCTTAACTACATCAAGATGTGTATCTAACGAAGAAGGTTAAAAAGCGCTCGAAGGATAATGATAGCTCTTGTTCCTGCAGCTCATCAAATGGATCTTTGGGTGTTTGTGGTAGAGATTGCCTCTGCAGGTACGGATGCTGTGGGATGAGTTTTTGTTCCTTAAAATTATGAAATCTGCTTATTGTAATAGCTATTTGAATTAGAAATACAGTCTAGCAATGTAACTAGTACTTTCTTATCTATTTCATATCATCCAAATTTTTACATTGCACGTTAAGTTTCATGCCTCCTCTTCTGATAGTATCTCCATTATTATGTTATTGATTACACTATTGTATATTAGATCTCTGTTTGTTTTTTTATTCCATGATCTACCAGCCTATGCTGTTTTAATTGAGGTGTGAATTGATTATCTGATGTTTCGAANGAAGGACATATTCATTGACTTGTTCTTGGTCTATAATGAATTTATGAGGCTACATCAGACTTGATATGTGATTGTTATTGAATGTTCTATTTCTTTCACCATTATTTTACTTTGTTCCTGTAACAGTATGCTGTATACATGCTGTTCCTCTAGCTGTAATTGTGGGACCTCGTGTCTGAATAAGCCATTTAATCAAAGGGTTTCTAAGAAGCTGAAAGTTGTCCAGGTAATGCTTCTCTTTTGCTATCCAAATGATAAATTAGCATTCGTGGTAGATGTTTTACTATGCTAGGTTATTTGTTGTCTTTCTCGCATTAATTTCTCCATTGACTTATGAAACTGAACTGTAGTTGCGAATGAATTGGCATACATGTTTGTTGGATAGAATCATTCATCATATTGTTCCCTTTGACGTAGTTTAGTGCTTAATATGCTATTCTGTGTATCTTGATCTAGACCAACTATTCGATAATAATCAGTTTTGTGTTGCTATGCAATTCCATACTTATATCAATATAAGTTCTGTGTTAGATTTGAATTATTAAACTTTGAAAGGGATATTTGTTTTTAGAGATTGATTGACATTTTGGTTGAAAAAATATAAGCTTACAGCATGTAATTTTAGTCTAACACAGCAATCTGTACTACAGTTTCCAAATTTAAATATATAGAATTCAGCCTGTCCTTTGTCATCTATACCTAGCAGTCATCAATTTAGCTTTGACCTGTTAAATAAGTCAAAATGCCTTATTTCAGACTGAGAAATGTGGAATGGGTGTTGTGGCAGAAGAAAACATCAGTAAAGGAGATTTTGTGATAGAATATGTTGGAGAAGGTAAAGAATGTTGAGCAATTCATATATTTCGGCATGCAGAGCTTCCTATCATCTGAATGTGAACATAATTTCACTCTTTGCAGTAATTGATGATAAAACATGCGAAGAAAGGCTCTGGAAAATGAAGGGCCGGGGGGAAACAAACTTTTATCTATGTGAAATAAATAGGGACATGGTGATTGATGCCACTTACAAAGGAAACAAGTCAAGATACATTAATCACAGTTGCTGTCCAAATACCGAGATGCTCAAATGGTTAAGCCCGATTATTATTGTTATTATTAGCATGTATGTGTGTGTGTGTGAAATTAAACAAAACTTGGTTTTAACTTTCCCAGCATCTCATGATTTCAGGACAATTGATGATGAAACAAGGATTGGGATATTTGCAACCCGTAATATTAAAAAGGGCGAGCATCTGACCTATGATTATCAGTATGATTTGTGCCTGCTAGTTTCCCCTTACTTGAGTTGATGAGTTCTTTCTCTCATGAACTGATTATTACCCCATCCATCCCTCAAAGATAGGCTCACTTACTTTTTCACATTTTAAGAAAGCATCCATAATTATTGAAATTACAGAATATTTTCCTAATATTTATTTATTTTTTGATATTCAAGCAGATTAAATAATGGCAAAAAATGATCTTAATAATTCAACTGGTCTATTTAAAGAAACATGTCTGTTCTTGTGGGAAAACCAAAATATTAATTTTTCCAATCTTTGAGGGATGGTAGGAGTATTATTGCTATTGTTACACTCTAACAACTTTAGCAGGTTTGTGCAATTTGGTGCAGATCAAGATTGCCATTGTGGTGCTGCAGGTTGCCGGAAGAAGCTGGGTGTAAATAAATCCATTAAACAGAACACACCTTCTTCAGATGCTGCATTTAAAATAGTGGCGCACCAAGTGGCTACAAACTCCCACAAAGCGAAAGTTGTCGTATCAAACACAGCAGTAAGCTCTATATACTCTTTGGCTGACTGATGAGCTGCATCTAATTGGAATTTAATGGAAATGGCAGTTAACTGTTTCCACTGTCATCGTCTTTCTTACTTTCTTGAGACCTCAAGGTCAAATTCAAGTACGGTAATCCATTGATGGATTTAGGGATCAAGTTCAACTATGATAATTCCAATTATGTAAATTTAGTTTTCGCAAAGTGGGAGTCTTTGGAGTTGTGCTGTTTTTCTTATGACAGTGAGGATGTGAAGTTGTGTGGTCTTTTACTATAATTTAGTATTTGTAACACTCACATGTATTCCCTTCTTTAATGCGTGCTTTATTTGGATTTGGACATTTTGCAAACTGTGGACTAAGTAGCTTTATTTCTTTGAAAGGTCTGCATAAATGGAGTTCCAGGTGTAGGTATACTGTTTCACTTCTCAACAGCTTGATTTCTTCTTTTTATTCTATTCTTATCTTGGCAAGAACACACATGATTTCTATTAGTCACAACTCCCTTATGTTTGTTGTGATTTATATCTTTACAGAAGGTCCTGGTCATGATCCTTCTCAGCATAAAAGAAGGCGCAGCAATTGCGTAGGTTCAGTTATAAGAATTTATAATTTTTCTGATACAAGGTATGACCGAATATTTTATATCTATGTGCAGTAGTAAATGAATAATATCTCTGCTTTTCCATATTTTGAAGCTTTTAGTTTTAGATTAGCATAATTGGACAAACTGGTATTATTGGTTTATTAATATCTATAGTTACTTGTTTGTATACATCCATTCTTTGTATCTTTGAAGGATCAGAATTCTACACTAATCAACTATGTCTTGAACTTGATAGATCTAAGGTTAACTACATAAGTTTATTTCAAGGCGTTCAGCACGATAGAAAAAAAAAAAAAAATCTGATTACCTATCAAAATGAAATTTACATTTATATAAACTTTTACAAATTACCTCCTTGAGAGTATTTTCCAGGTATGGGAGGTCAAGATAATTGTTAATTTGAATAATAGTTGGGTTTTATTTTTCCTTGAGTAAATACACTAAATCTCAAGGGGTAGTTTCATTTAGTACAACATATTTATTTCGGAACATGTCTGGAGACTTAAAGGAGACTAAAGTATTGTATGGAATTAATGTTCTGTTCTGTCACCTATCTTCTCCACTTTCAGGTCATTTGGGATAATTAGACACTTTGACAACACAACGAGGAAACATTTGGTGAGGCTGAAGTCACTTTTTTAACACATGATCTCCCACAAATTAGTAGCTATCTATATACATGATTTTGTTTTCCTTCTCTTGTACAGATCATGTTTGAGGATGGAAGTTCTGAGTTCCTAGACTTGTCCAAAGAAGACTGGGAATTTTGTAATTGTTAGATGCACTTAACGAGGTAAAAACCTGCCTGTGATCTTTCGAACAAGTCGATCTTACAACTTTTGGTGGAGTGGGAAAGGAAAAGGGAACAGAAAAATGATGTGCATATTCATATGTATAATTAGAAAGATATGTTGTTTAGATGGTTCCAGTAATTTATTGAATTATGAAATGAGTATAATGGAATTATAATATATGTATTCTCCTTTATGCAGGTGCAAAGGTGTAGGCTATATCACACATACGTGAATGAAAAATACGTAATGCGAGGGCCTCTCACTCGAGGGCTATCAGGCTCTTCATGTTGTATCAAAATACGGCTTGCGTATATCTTTTTTCTCTCTAACATTTAGTTATTTTTTCAATATTCGATTTGATAAATGATGGTCTCCACGATATTCTT